CCCCAAAACCCCAAAACCCCGACTCTCTATGTAATACTGAATAGCCATTTAATCATTAATTAAGTTTTATGTATATTGTGGGGTATTCATAAATAATAGAATTCTCAAGAGCCTCACTCAACTTTAAGCTCCTATCAATCTCCTTAAATACTGCCTTCACCTTTTTACTCTCAGCCTGCTCTATTATATTCTATTTTTACTCTAATGGCTAATCAACCTCACTAAGCTCACCCTCTTCTATATCTTTCTCATCCAATATTTTTTCAAGTTTCTTAATAAAAATCTTAGAGCTATTCAGCAATTCTTCACTGGAGTTAGATATCAAAAGGTTAAATTATTCATTGTGAAACTTCTACTTAAGAAAGGTTTTGCTTACTAGGGAATCTAATGAAGTTTCCTCATTTATCATATCATGACCATTCAATACTATAGTGCCAAGCTAAGGCAATACAAGAATACTCTAACCTCCTTAAAGATCGCTTACAAATATCAGCTCAACTGTCCATAGTATATACTTTGCATTTTAAGCGTTTGAATCTATGGTTGTAGTATTTAGTTTGTGTCTGATCATTTATTTTGGACATTACTTGAAAATTACCTGCCTCTTTTTCTTCAAGAAATATCGTAAGTTCTTGATTTTTTTCGAGACTCTGACATCATTAGCAACTTCAACTGAATTCTTCTTGACATTATTTGATAGAGTTATTGCATTTTCAATGAAATTCATATCCTTCTTGAGATGATTAAGGTTGAAATCATTCAATAAAATTTTTTACTTAGTCAAATGTGCTTTTTATCCTGAGCAATTACTTTGCTATTTATGCTAATTAGTACATTTCAATGAACAACTGAGAATGAGACAAGCAGGGCATTTGTATTTAAAGTCTTCTGAGCTACAAACCTAGCATTTTAGCTTTCTATCCTTAGTCTAAGTCGAGGTATTTATTTATTAAGATTCTTGTAATGAGCTTTACTCATCCTCCTCCTCTTAATCCTCATTTAGAAAATAACTCTTGGTAAATAAATAGTTCATTTTTATTGTCGACAAATATTATCAATTAATGAACTTTTATATTTAACTTATTATAGCTAATATTCAGATCAAATATTGTATATACATCTGAATAAAATGAAAAGCTCTTCTGTTTTTTTTATAATCAACTAATTTTTACACTTTCATCTGTATTTTCAGTTTATTTATAGTTAAGTTCCCTCAGAGTTTTCAATTCATATTTGCAGTTGCTTAGAGCGTCATTAAGGGTAGAGCATTTCATGGCAGATCTTTGATTTACCAAGCACATATTAAAAAACTCTTCAATAGCAAGGCATCTGGTATCATAATAAATAATATATTTAAAGATTACTTTAAGTCTTGCTGATAAACAATCTTCGGTAGTTATTGCAAAAGTTCAGAGCCCAATGCTTTTCGCTTTATATTTTACTCCATTATATAATTATGAATGGATGTAGTTGATTTATTAAATTAATGCTTATTAATTTAATAATTAAGATAATTCAAACTACATATAATATATATATAAACTTAGCATTTTACCCACAAAAATAAATTCGATGACTGATACTTCAGTACTTCCCTTCTTAATAATGAAGGTATGTATCACTTTTTATATCAATCTTCCTAAGAGGCTATACCAGTTTACTGGTCATTACTTTCATCCTAATCATTGTCATTTTCATCATAGTAAAGTATAAAGCTTCTTATCTTTTTGAGTTCATAGTGAAATATCCTAAAGTGGTATCTTGATATCAAAGATATGACAGTGCAAGCCAAGAAAATCCAGTATCCTTCTGCGATATATTTTAGCGATAATACATTAATTAGAGTCCATACTCCAAACATTGATATGTAAAATATCCAGCAGCTTTTCAAAGGCAGCTAAAATAGTATTGGTTTGAAAATTAAGATTACTGTAAGAGTGAGCTATTTTACATGTGAGTCTTATAAAATAAATATAGCACAGATCAAGCCAAATATATTTAGAGCTAATGCAACAATAGCTGCACAGAATAACTATGATAATGTTTAATATTCTAGGCTTACTATATATGATGATACTAGATAAGTCGTCAAAGAATAGCATATTTTTGGATAATTTTCAAAGTCATCTCCATTGATATTTCCACACAACTAAGTCTCAGCACTCAACTCAAAAAGATCCATACTATATGTAAATTTAAATAATGCTTTTAAAATTGCAAACTTACCTATAATCTGAATTATCACATCTAAGATTTGTGAGATCTAATCCTAAAATTCTTAGTTTGACATCTGCAAGAGAGTTCACAGCTTCCAGTGGTTTGACACAATTCTTGTCATTTTAATGCATCCAATTTAGGTAAAATATTGAAAGAGACACTCCAATTATAATCAGAATCTAGAGCAAGATGTTGAAAGCAATACATCTTTCAGCTCTTACTCTTCTATTTATTTCATAGGTTACTGATTTGACACTGCCTCTATCATCGCTGTGTCTGTTTCCAGTTTACAAATTATGTTTTTTGTCTTCCTCCAAGAAGTAAGTACTTACTTGGTTTTGGTCAAGGTTTGTTGTTGCAAATCTTTAAAACACTGGGTTACTGTTTATATTGTTATTTGCTATCGAAAAATTTATTACTTAGTCTTCAACTAAACTTTTCTATTGAGATCTTGTAAATGATTTATATCAATTCGTACTACTTTAAGAGAATTGCTAAGAAGTCACTCTAATTGATTTACTATTTTTTGAAGATGCTATTTCGTTTTTAGTTCTTTAGGTATCACTAGGAGAGAGAACATTTGTCTGAAACTTATGTTGAGTAGGTGATTAGTCTAATTCTGAAAAGTTGCCTCTTGCATCAAAAGACTTATAAGAAGCACTTGAGGATTAAGACATTCTTTGCTAATTCATTAAAATTACTTTTATAATTTATACAATAAATACATAACTCAGAATTTACGATATAATGATACAGTGGGGTTTTGGGGTTTTGGGG